CCGAGGGTGAGACGAGGAATTCTGAGGATGTCAACTCGTTCTTACCATTCACATACTTATAACCAAATCATCCAAGTCCGACCTTGAGGTGTCATAAGTGAATCGACAGCCGTCTTGATTCTTCACTCACTGAAAATAGGACGGGAGGAAACCTGAACTACCTACAATGCCCGCAGAGTATGAGTTGGGGAATAGCATCGCAATGCCAGGAATTCCCCCCGCTCCCTGCGAGGTTGCATGCTAGCTGTCGAGAGTTCGCGGAGGCAAGATGGCTATAATCCAGCTGATCTTCGAAGTAGAGAAGCGAAGATGAGTCGAATAACGAGGGAACAGACATCCAGTCCGATGGTAAAGGAAGTCTACATGACCTAGAGACACAGTACGTAAGTCAGTCTGGGAGAAAAAGAGTTGGAAATGGCTCGAGGTCCCGAGTCTGAGTATCTAGTGGAGGAGCAGGAGTATATTACACGATATGGTCCACGTACTGAACGCCGGGTACGGGGCTTATCCTAGCATACAAGCAAGTGGATGACAGGTCAGGCGGTACCTTTGAACTGCAGCTCACCAGTGTCCGGTGAGCCTATTTTGACAGGGATCATGATATATTTCCGACAGTGTCCCGGTGATCCAGTTTAACGCCTCTCCACTAGCGAAAGGTGAATTTGGACAGCAATTGTTCGAAACCGCTCGGTTCGGAAGGATCTCTGTTCCGCTCTGACGGCGGGAAGAATGACCGAAGGTCCTGCTATGAGGCGCCGATTCTCCAATTAGATAGATGATGGAACTGCCTATCCCTCGTCGCCCCGCCCCCCTTTCCAGTTGCTGATAGCCATACGAGATCTTCCGGATTTCAGGAATATGTGCTCATTCAACGGATAGGTCGACTGAGCCACTATGACACCGATCACCCGAATTTGTTCTGTGTCTCTTTGCAGGCTGAGACTGAGCACATGGAGATGTTCTCGATTAAATTGTATCGCTCCCAAGCAAGCCAACTTGAATATTAGCATACTATCCAGGCACATAAAAAGGAAGTGAACGCACTCGAGAACACACACCCAAATAATGGTTCCGTCAGACGGAGACCTCCGCATCGTGTGTATGCCTTGCATCAAGTTTTGAAGGATTTCCATACCAGACAGCGCCCTGCCCTGTCCTTTATCAACGTCAACTGAGATCGTGTAGATGAAGACCAGGGAAAGTACTCACGAGATGACAGATAACACTCTCGTTTGCTATCTCATTGCATAATGTTTTATATTTGCCCAATCCTCCTGACTATACACCGGGATCCCAGCCGAAACCAAGATATTCACGACGCCCCATCGCCCTTTATAAAGTTTATGACCGTATCGCACGCTCTTGATAAGATTAGATAATTTATTTTCGACTCCTGAAGGAAAATTGAGATGGTAGGAGAAGCGGGATGAATCGACAAGGTGATGAATACGGGTGGATAAGCGTCGTCCTATGTTCTCAAAAAAGAAGAATGGTTGTTCAAGATAACGATCATCACCGGAGCGTCTGACACTCACCAACTTCGGAGAATTCAGCTCGGAACCGGGTCGAATCGTGTCGATGTCCAATGGTTCGAGATAAACGTGCACTGTTGCCAAAAATCCGGTGACCTTCTTACGTCCGTGTCGAAGTAGTGAGCGATGGATGGCGAAACGAGAGGTTAATCACCGTTCAAAATCTCGCCATGTTCGGGTACCCGAACATAGCTCTTCACTACCTGTTCTTTTTCTTATTCGTCGGCCTTGATAACAGGGGGGAAGATAGATACCTGGAAATATATAGCGCAGTAAGGCTTATTTTCAACGAAATGAAGCAAAAGCAAGCACAGAGCTCGAAGGGCTGTGGAAGACGCACTCGTCATGGTAGTGACTGCGGCCCAAGAGACGATCGGTCGACACGCGCATGATAACTCAATTCTAGCTGTGACCCTTCCATATCCCATGTACCTGCACGCCAAAGCTCCGGGGGTGTGTATTTTATCTTTCAGTTTTCCCAGAGGGGCAGATGATAATACCCAACGTTTACCCCTTCAAGTGTGAGTAGAAGTAGAGCTTCCTGCATATAAAATTTAGGCAATTGACTCCCGGTTTTGATTGAGTAGAAAAAGATTCAATATCAACTTCAGGTTTTCCGACCAGCCTGGTTCGAACAGGCGACCCCAAGATCATACTCCCCAGCAACCTATTACAGTCTCGTGCTCTTCCAACTGAGCTATGGTCGGATGTAAAGGAGAAGCGACTGTAATCCGTATCAGCGCAGGAGGATTGCCGAGCACAGCCACGACGATTTCCTGCGGGCCGATGACCAAAATCGTCATCTTGCATTTTGCTTCTTGACCACGAGTGACGACAGTAAATGCAGGCGACGAAATCTCCGCCTTCATACTTTCTTGTCTGATCTCTATGGCTCGCGACTAAAAGAATCCTGGTCTCTGACTTCTCGAGTTGTATGTCTCAGTATCATTCTCCCCATTTTCTGAACTGATCACAGACCAACTTCCACAGGTCAACTCAAAAGCCGCGAAGATCAGATGCTAATATATTGGAACCGTACTGAGAGATTGTCTGGAGAACAAAGGGGGTCCTCATGCATATGGAAAAAATGGCAGATCTTGAAGACTGTTTGACCAATCTGAAGTCGCCTGGAAGGTGAGTTTTGAGACATTTTTTCGATTATGCGCAATGTTGACAGCCCTATTCAACCTACGTCAGGAGATTCAAGACGTCGTAGCGTGCCATCGAGCAGGTCCAAAACATGAAGTTACAATCACAACATCTTGCTTCGAGATCCTCCAAGGCCGATCACAGTCTTCTGAACCTCCGTCGCTATGCCGGGCACTCTTCTCCGCACGACTTGCAACTAACTCCGGGGGCATGAGACACGCGTAACCTTTGGATGCGGTAGTTGTAAGTACATGTTCGGGTGGAATACGCGCATGTACACGATATGATACGTTCATCCTACTCCATCGTCCTCGTTGTTGTTCACTCACCTACCGGTTTGACTCAGTTCAGTGCTCGGTATACAAGGCACCGAATGCCCCCT